CCCCCCTCATAGGGGCCACCTTCAGGAACACGTGGTCACCCACCTCAAATTCGAGGTCCCTTCTACGCACATCTGCATAGCTTTTCTGTCGACTCTGTGCGGTGAGTATCCTCTGTTTGATTTTCTGCACCGCTGCATTGGTGACCTGGACCAACTCTGGTCCCATTAGTTGCTGCGTGCCTACCTCTTCCCAAAACACTGGTGTTCGACACCTACGCCCATACAGTGCCTCGAAGGGGGCCATCTGAATGGTCGCTTGATAACTATTGTTGTAGGCAAACTCCATTAAAGGCAGATGTTCGTCCCAACACCCAGCGAAATCTAAGGAGCAGGCTCGCAACATGTCCTCTAAAACCTGATTCAGCCTTTCGGTCTGTCCGTCTGTTTGAGGATGGAATGCTGTACTGAACCTCAACTAAGTCCCTAGTGCCTTCTGAAGACTCCTCCAGAACTGAGAGGTGAACCTGGTGTCCCGGTCTGATACTATGGACACTGGTACCCCGTGCAGGCGTACTATCTCCTTGATATATAACTGAGCCCACCGGTCTACTCGATATGTGGACTTTCCTGGAATGAAGTGGGCTGTCTTAGTCAGTCTGTCTACAATTACCCATACGACGTTGAAACCCTGCTTTGTCTTTGGCAAACCCGAAATGAAATCCATACAGACTGCTTCCCATTTCCACTGAGGGACGCTCAGGGGCTGTAGCAATCCTGCTGGGCGCTGCCTTGGGGCCTTCACCTGCTGGCAGGTCAAGCAACGGTGATACGATAAGGAATCAATACAAGGGGAATAAGATTCGGATTACCTTGTCGATCGAATATCTCAAGCCAAGAACACTTTGTTTGAGATTCGAATCACTCCAGAAGCAAGATCGATCATGTCTAGCTTCAATGATTCTTGTTGATCAAATATCTCAAACACTTGTTTGAGATTCGAATCACTCCACAAGCAAGACTGATCATATCGAGCTTGAATGATTCTACATGCAACCTAAACTACATAGAGTTGCAAAGAAACTTAGCCATTAGCTAAAGAAAAGCACAAATGCTTCTTTACTATATATCTTCTAAGTCTTATTACAAATACAACATAGATGGCTTTATATAGCCTAAAAAATGAAACTACTAAAGGTATTCCAAAAGTTGTAACATTCCTACTCTATGGCCATAATTAGCCATTATGTAAATGTAACCGAAATTAAATAACAAGTCTTAAAATACAATAACTCTAAATTACTCTAAATTGTAACCCACCCAAAATTTACAACAATCAAACTTCATTCTTCTTCAATGTAGCATGAATTGAAACATCTTTTTGATAATTTTGACAACCTTTTCTTCACATCTTCATTGAAGTATATTGTATGATTGATGTCTCTTGGTTCATATCAAACGGCTTACGAAATCCGCTATGTCCCTCTTCATTCCGGACCACCAGTAAAACCTCTTCAGATCCTGATACATCTTTGTACTTCCAGGGTGGAACACATAAGATGTATCGTGGGCTTCGGTCATAATATCTTTTAAGATTCCCTCGTCTCGGGGAACGCACAGGCGGTTTTGCCATAGCAGACCCCCGTCTGAGGAGATAGAATACCCTACTGGCCTCTCTGTCTCAATCTGACTCCACACTTTACTGAGGTGTTCATCAGACCTCTGAGCGTCGATAACTTTCTTTCGTAGGGTAGGCTGTATAGTTAACTGTGCTATCTGAACATTACCACCTTTAATCACCACGTCTATCCCAACCCTCTTCATCTCATCTTGTAGTTTTTCCTGTGTGGTGAGCATCACAGAAGTATGCACAGCCTTCCTGCTCAATGCATCAGCTACCACGTTGGCTTTGCCTGGATGGTACAGAATCTCTATGTCATAATCCTTTACCATCTCCAACCATCGCCTCTGTCTCATATTGAGCTCCTTCTGCGTGAATAAGTACTTGAGGCTCTTATGATCAGTGAAGACTTGTACTTTTTCCCCATACAGGTAGTGCCGCCACGTTTTTAGAGCGAATACTACCGCTGCTAACTCGAGATCATGCGTGGGGTAGTTTCGTTCATATTCTTTCAATTGTCGAGAAGCATACGCTATCACCTTACCTTTCTGCATGAGCACACACCCCAAGCCTTTCCCTGATGCATCACTGTACACCACGAGATTACCTGACCCATCTGGAACCGTAAGAACTGGTGCAGTTACCAACCTCTTCTTGAGTTCCTGGAAACTCTGTTCGCAGACTGGAGTCCAAGCAAAGGGCTTGCCCTTCTTGGTTAGCTGAGTCAGCGCCGAGGAAATTTTGGAGAAATCCTGAACAAACCTTCTGTAATAACCAGCTAGCCCAAGAAAACTCCTCACCTCTGTGACTGTGGTCGGCTGTGGCCACCTCATCACTGCTTCTATCTTAGCTGGGTCCACTGTGATCCCCTTGCTTGACACCACGTGACCCAGAAACGCAACTTCAGACAACCAAAACTCACACTTAGAGAACTTGGCATACAACTGCTGAGCTCTTAGTATTGTCAAGACTTTTCTGAGGTGTATTTCATGATCTGCCTCTGACTTAGAGTATACCAGAATGTCGTCGATGAACACTAAGACAAAGGTGTCTAAGAATTCCTTAAATACCCTGTTCATTAGTTCCATGAAAACGGCTGGTGCATTGGTAAGGCCAAAAGACATAACGAGAAACTCGTAATGCCCATAACGACTTCTGAAGGCTGTCTTGGGTATATCCCCTTCCCTGACCCTCAACTGATGATACCCCGACCTTAGGTCAATTTTGGAGAAAACTGTTGCTCCCTGTAGCTGATCAAAAAGGTCGTCAATTCTCGGGAGAGGGTACTTATTCTTTATAGTGACCTTGTTTAATTCCCTGTAATCAATACACATCCGCATGGACCCGTCCTTCTTCTTGACAAACAGAACAGGGGCTCCCCAGGGTGATACACTGGGTCGGATGAAACCCATATCCAACAACTCCTATAACTGTTCCTTCAATTCCCTGAGTTCTACAGGTGCCTTGGAGATCGGCACCGTTCCTGGTTCTAAATCGATCCCAAAATCGACTTCCCTAGCTGGGGGCAAACCCGGCAGATCCTCCGGAAAGACATCTACGAACTCCCTGACGATGTGTACCGATGAGGTTTTTTGTTTGTTACTATTATCTAAGGTCACGCTGGCTAGGAATGCAATTGCGCCACTACGAATCAACTTCTTAGCCCTTAGCGAGGTTATGACGCTCTGGACACCTTTGGAAGTGGCTCCCTTGTAGGTAAAGATGTCCCCTGACGGGAGCCTGAGAGTCACTATTCGGGTCTCGCAGTCTATCAAAACGCGATTCCCGCCTAGCCAATCCATACCCAAGATGACATCGAAGTCTTGCATCCTTAACACTATCAGTGTAGCTTCGATGACACGCCCTGCTATCGTTACTCCACCTCCCTTCACCCTATGGGTAGCTAGCAACAGCTCGTGAGCAGGGGTAGACACTGATAGGGTAATCTCTAAAAGTTCTTTCTCTAGCTGTGCTAGCTCTACAAACTCTTCAGATACGAATGAATGCGTCGAACCCGAATCAAACAATACTAATGCAAGATGACCAAATACGGGTAGCGTACCTGTGACAACCGCGTCAGGCTGGTCAGCTTGCCTGGCTGTTGTTGCATGGGCTACAGCTCGCCCCTGCTGATGTTGGTCGGCTTGGCCCCTCTGATGCTGTACTGCAGGCAGGTTGACACGCTGATCGTTTCTCTGAGGGCAATCCACTGCAAAGTGCCCTACCTGACCGCATCTGTAGCAGGCGCCTGTTCCTGCTCTGCATTCCCCCGTGTGAGGACGCCGACAATTAGGGCACAAAGTCATGTTCCGTACCGGGGCTCTCCCTCGCCTATCAGTGCGGCCACGGGGTGGTCTGCCAGTTCTGGGGTGGCTAGGGTATGCCCTCTTTCCCTGGGCCGCAGTGTGGGATGATTGTGCTATTCCTAACTGAAGCTTGTCGGTACGGGGCGAGTCGAGCAGGGTCGCCACCTGAAGGGCTTTCGTATAGACAAAGGATGACTGGGATGCCACATTCCCCCTTAGTTCTTCCCTCAGGCCAGCAATAAATCGTTCGCCCTTCAACTCCTCAGAACTAACATAGGCTGGAGAAAACCTTGCCAGCCTATTGAACTCCAAGTCATAATCCCCCACTGATCTGTCTCCCTGTTTCAATGCGAGGAACGCGGCCTGCATTTTCACTCTGGCAGTGATTGGGTAGTATTTGTGGAGGTATGCGTCTTTAAACTGACACCATGTAATAAACTCTCCTTGTGGTACTATGGTTTTCTGAGCACCTTTCCACCAGAAGTGCGCTTCTCCTTTCAGCATATATGTCCCACAATGGACTTCATACTTTGGTGGGCAGTTCATAAAATGGAAGGCCGTTTCTATGGCCTCTAGCCAATTCTCAGCGGCAATAGGATCCATCTTGCCTCCATCAAAGGAAGGCGGTTTATGCCTCTGGAAATCTCTCAAGTAGCGGGACTCCACAGTCATAGTCCCTGAATCCTTGCCCCCTTGCCCTGTTGACTGATTAGACATCATGGTCTGAATCATCTGGTTCGTCAGAGCCTGATTTTCCATCGACGTCATCATGAACGTCTGAAACATCTCTGCTGAGGGCATGGCTAATGGCTGGTTTAGTGGGACTGCTGTACACGGGGTTGGATCCGATGGGGCCTCCTCGGAGAAGGGAGTAGTAGGGGGTGTCTCGAGCAGCCTTCGGGCCTTGGCCTTCATTCGGCGTCTTTTTGATCTTGATGGCTGTGGTACTGTCCCCTCGCTAGTTTGGGGCATATCCCCAACCTCCTCCTGAAGTTCAGGTTGTTCCTCTTCAGGTATTGGAACCGAGGTGTCCTGAACTTCCTCTCTTCTTCCCCTTCTAGGTCCTGGCCCTACATACGGTTCGCGTCTCTTTGGTGCCATTATCTACCACGATAACAAAGAACTATGGTCACAATTCATCCACAACACATCTCCTAGGTAATGTGCGATATAATGCCCTAGTCAGTCATGGTATGCTCTATAAATACTAACTTAACCTTTGTCTCTATGTTTCCGTCGCGTGAGAACGTCTGGTCGTGAGCGGCATGTGATTGACGAGCGAAGTCACAGAGGACACGACTCTCTACCCTAAATGTCTACAGGACCTATAACCTGACGGCTCTGATACCAAATTTGTCACAGCCCAATATTTTACTACGAACAGTGACTAACGACACGACACAGATGCACAAGAGATTTAAATATGAAGTAGCGAAAATCATCAAATTTCAATAAAGTTTTTCGAACGATAAACACAGAACACAAGACCGTTTGGAAAATAAATTTAAAAAGAATGCGAATACAAAAATGATGACTAAGACTGGACTGACGCCCCGGGACAACCCATTCCTCTGTGACAATTCCCTTCAGATCACGCCCACTCTTGACTGACGCCTCGCGCCCCTGAAAAAAAAAAGAAAACATAGCAAGGATGAGTATAAAAATTATACTCAGTAAGCCACCTACTTGTAGGCTCTTTTCGCATCTTAATTTAGCAGAACTCCCACGGTTTCCTAATTCGGTTCTAGGACATCGGGTTCTAACCTTAGTCTCTTGGGGCTTGCCCCTTGGGTTTCACCGGTTCATCGTCCTTTCATTAGTCACCTAGAGGTTCCTTATGCCAAGCTAATATGGTCGGTATCTCTCTATGAGGCGCTACCTCTACATGGCTGTCTAGAACTACATGGTACCTAGCCTAGGGGTGTGCTGAATACCCCTACGCCCACATAGTCCTCCTATGGGGGGCGCGACCCAACCCGTTCCCATGCAGCTAATGGGCTGTACGACGTGGGGACACATTTCCCATGCGAAATGGCTAAGAACAGTAAGGACTGATCAGGGACCCTTGGTCCTCCCACGAAGCTATAGATACCGTTCTCACGCTAACAATCTATGAACCCCCTTAGGTACTTTCTTACCGTGGTAAACCGCTAAGTTTCTAGAGGAAAATTAAGTCTGTCTAGAGCGGCATATCGCTCCTAAAAGAAATTCCCTAATCTTATCATAGAAATGGGCCCTAGCAATTAACAGAGGGTGCATGCAATCTTCTTCTAACATCATAGTATGTAATTCATGCAAACTAGGCATACCGGCTCAACGGGGCGATGACCTCCATCAAGCACCCAGAGCACGAGGTTCGCGTTCAATGGGGCAAATTCGTCCATCGAGCACCCGAAACCCGGCATACACAATTCTAACATAAATTAAACGC